TGACCCCTGGATCTGAAATACACTGTGGGCACGGGGGCCCCGGGCGGGAGCGACAAATCAAAGCGAGGCGGATCAAAGGGGAGCAGCTGTGGCCGGGCCGCCTTCCCGGGTTTTCTCTCCAATAAACAACCGGCTCACGGCCCCGGCTGTGGGTGCGGAGGGCTCCCCAGCAACAAAGAGGCCGGGAAGCGGGTACTTAGCACTTAGAGAGGGGAGGGGAGGCGCTCCGAGGGAGGTTCGGGGAGGCAGGACCTGGTGGGAAATGAGGAGCAGAAGCGGCCAGCGGCCCCAATGCCTCTGCCTCGCAGGCTGCACCAGCCAGCGCTGTTCCTTTTCCAGCTGCTGCTTTCTGGTGCATCTTTAAAAAAAAAATACATTTTATTGATTTTACAGAGGAAGGGAGAGAAAGAGAGAGATAGAAACATCAATGATGAGAGAGAATCATTGACTGGCTGCCTCCTGCATGCCTCTCACCGAGGATGGAGCCCACAGCCCAGGCATGTGCCCTTGTCCGGAATCGAACCTGGGACCCTTCAGTCCCCAAACCGACGCTCTATCCACTGAGCCAAACCAGCTAGTGCTCGGTGCATTTTTTTTTTTAATTATGATTACTTTATTGATTAAAGTATCACATATTTGCCATCATCCCCCCCATTCCTTGACTTCTATTTCCTGGCTTTCCCTCCTCACCCAGAAAGCCGCTCTGAGGCTGCCTTCTATCTCATCACGCCTCCCCCGCGTCTATTCCAAGGGGCGGGACCACAGGCCGAGCACAAATTCTGGCCAAAAGCAAAGCCGGGCGAGCCGGTGGCGGTGGCCGGTGGCCGGGCCGGGTGCTCAGAGGCTCAGAGGCTCCTCTGCAGCCGCGCTGGCTCTCGGGGTGGGAGAAAGCTCTCAGGAGCCTTGGGGAAGGCGCTCCAGCCCACAGCGCCTCTCTCTGGGGAAATAACGGCGATCGTTGCTGGTTAGGACGTCGCTGAGGGCTGGGCTCTCTCCGCGATCCGACGTGGGATGCAGACAGGGAAGAAGCGACAAGCTGTTGGCTGTTGGCAGGCGGCAGGGAAAGGAGGGAGGGACCTAGACGTGCGTTCAGGGAAGAGCGTTCAGTGAAGTTTCCCGGGCATCTACCCCCACACACGGGGAGTGGGACTGACTGAGTTTTGGGGGGACGCCTCAGAGCGCGGGGGGCCTGCCGGGCTCACATCCGGGAGCCGCTGCTCACCGCCTGAGTCCCACCCCCCGGGGAGAGCCACGCCCGAGGGAAGCAACCTCTCTTCTCAGGCCCACTCCGATGCCTCCTCTGCTCCTGCTGTTAAACAGTCACTGTTTCTTCTTCATCCGGATTTCACCAGTTTCCTCTCTAGTGCCATTTTTTAAAATATATATATTTCTTATTGATTTCAGAGAGGAAGGAGAGGGAGAAAGAGGTGGAAGCACCAATGATGAGAGAGAGGCACGGATTGGCTGCCTCCTGCACACCCCACTGGGGGTGGAGCATGAGCCCTGACGGTGACTCCAACCGGACACACCGGCCGGCCACTAGTACCCAGGTTCATTGCGATGCCTCCTCTGCTCTTGTTTTTGAAAATTAATTGTTTCTGCCCTAACCGGTCTGGCTCAGTGGATAGAGCGTTGGCCTGCGGACTGAAGGGTCCCAGGTTCAATTCCGGTCAAGGGCATGTACCTTGGCTGTGGGCACATCCCCGGTGGGGGTGTGCAGGAGGCAGCTGGTCGATGTTTCTCTCTCATCGACATTTCTTTCATATTTATATATATATATATATAAAATTGATTTTTCACAGAGAAGAAGAGAGAGAGATAGAGAGTTAGAAACATCGATGAGAGAGAATCATCGATCAGCTGCCTCTTGCACACCCCCTACTGGGGATGTGCCCACAACCAACGTACATGCCCTTGACCGGAATCGAACTCGGAACCTTTCAGTCGGCAGGCTGATGCTCTATCCATTGGGCCAAACCGGTTTCGGCTCTCATCGACGTTTCTAACTCTCTATCCTTTTCCTTCCTCTCTGTAAAAATCAATAAAATATATTTTTAAAAAACATGCTGTGTAGTTCGTTTGGGTAATTATTATGCCACAAAGAAAATGCTGGGGTTTCTTATCACCAGTTTAAAAGACAGAGTCACTATTGTCCACACTTGGTTAGATGTTTCCTGCCAAACCATCTCCAGTGGCCAGGCCTTCACCGGCCAGCAGGCCCGTGTTTTGGGGCGCCCCAGTGAGCACAGAGGAGCAGTGAGACTTGGCCGGGGGCCTGGGGGTTCCCACACAGGCTTCAGAACCCGCGACCCTGCACCCTTGGCAGAGCTGCTGGGTTGCCGGACTATCCCTGGTGGGGAAACCTCAGCTGGCAGCCGGCAGCCAACACCTCTGGCTTCCCCTGGGGTTGGCTTCCGGGTCCCATCATATAGCAACAGAACTCAGGTCTGCCCAGGTCTGGCTCCGCAGGTGACTGGGAACCTAATGAGCCTGAAACACACACACACACACACACACACACACACACACACACACACACACACACACACGCACACACTCACACACACACACACACACGCACACACAATCACATACACTCACACACATACACACACTCACATACACACACACTCACACACATACACACTCTCACATACACACACACATACACACACTCACATACACACACTCACACGCACACACAATCACACACACACTCACACACTCACATACACACACAATCACACACACGCACACACAATCACATACACACACATACACACGCAATCACACACACACAATCACACACAATCACACAATCACACACACACAATCACACACTCATACACACACAATCACACACACAATCACACACAATCACACACAATCACACACACGCACACACACAATCACACATACATACACACATACACACACACACTGCAGAGGGACAGGGCCTTCGCCTATCTGACATGAAGGGCACTCAGCAGTGCTTTGGAGTCAGTGGGCCGGTCTCGATGGTCGATTATTTCCTGGTCTATAACATTGAGACATTCCCACTCTCTGTAACCAATGGGGGCCCTAGCTGGTTTGGCTCAGTGGATAGAGCATCGGCCTGCAGACTGAAGAGTCCAGGGTTCAATTACACAGCCTGCGTTGGGGGCTTGTTCCCCAGTGTGGGGTGTGCAGGAGGCAGCCAATCAAGGATTCTTTCTTATCATTGATGTTTCTCTCCCTTCCTCTCTGGAATAAATACATAAATATGTTTTTTTAATAAATCAATAGGAAATATCAAGTGAAGATTGACATATAACTAAATAAATTCACTGTAAAGGGGGGGAGGGACACAAATACCGAATTCACAGAAACACCCATGGGCACAGCCCAGCACCGGGACACTCAGAACCAGCGTGTGCTTAGATGAGAGAATGATGCTCCCGTCCCATCCGCCTTCTGCCCGAACGTCCCCGCCACCAGCGGAGGCTGAGGAAGAGGAGGGAGGGATGGGGGAGCAACAGGCGGGATGTCAGGCTGCCTCTCCGAGCCTGTGGGCGGTGCGGGGCCCGGGTCACAGTCTGGGGGGGGGGGGGGGCGGTGCGGGGCCCGGGTCACAGTCGGGGGGGGGGGGCGGTGCGGGGCCCGGGTGACAGTCCCTGGGGGAAGGGGGGGCGGTGCGGGGCCCGGGTCACAGTCCGGGGGCGGGGGGGGGGGGGGGGGGCGGTGCGGGGCCCGGGTCACAGTCCGGGGGCGGGGGGGCGGTGCGGGGTCCGGGTCACAGTCCGGGGGCGGGGGGGGGGGGGCGGTGCGGGGCCCGGGTCACAGTCCGGGGGCGGGGGGGGGCGGTGCGGGGCCCGGGTCACAGTCCGGGGGGGCGGTGCGGGGTCCAGGTCACAGTCCGGGAGGGGGGGGGGGAGCGGGGTCCGGGTCACAGTCCGGGGGGGCGCGGTGGGAGCGGGGCCCAGGTCACAGTAGGGGGGGGGCGGTGCGGGGTCCGGGTCACAGTCCCGGGGGGAAGGGGGGGCGGTGCGGGGCCCGGGTCACAGTCCCTGGGGGAAGGGGGGGGCGGTGCGGGGCCCGGGTCACAGTCCCTGGGGGGGGCGGTGCGGGGCCCGGGTCACAGTAGGGGGGGGGGCGGTGCGGGGTCCGGGTCACAGTCTGGGATGGGGACCTCGAAAGGCCCTCCCACAGGAGCCCACGGGAGCGAATGGTGCGGGGAGATCGGGCTCGGGTTCTGGGGGCGGGAGGTGGTGGGCGCCTCCCTCCCCGCAGCGGGTCGGCGACAGCGGGCTGAGCGGAGCGGCCCGGCCTCCACCCCTGACCATCCAGGAGGGGGCGCAGCGCACACCACCCGCCCTCCTCCGGGCCAGACGGACCCTCCGGGAGGCCGGGCGCGGGGGGCAGACACCCGGACGTCTGGGGCGTCACCGGGCGCCCCGAGAGGCCGGTGCTGCGGGGTGACCGCGCCCCCCGGTGCCACCTGCGCCTCCGGGGCCTGAGCCCGGGCAGCGGGCGCCCTCCGCGGGTGTCACCGCCCCTCGCCTGCACCCGGGCCGGCAGGTGGGGGTGCGGGCGGGCTGTTTGACCAGCCGGGTCGGTCTGGCACGTGGCGGGTGGTGAACGCGCCTCTGATGCCCGCGGGAGGGCGGCGGGGCCGGGCCCCGAGGGTGCTCTGCCCGCTGCGCCGCCCCCCCCCCCCAGCAAACCCCCCGGATGTGGATTGCGGGCCGGGCGGCGGGGGCTCCGGGCCCGGTTCACGCCCCCCTCGCGCCCCCGCGGTCGGCGGAAGCGATCGCTCCCCGGCGTCTGGCGGGGCCGCCGGGGCTCGCACCCCGAGGGCCACGACCCCCTCGTCCCCCTTTGATCGCCCGCCGCGGCCCCGCCCCGGCCCGGCCCTATAACCGCGGGCCGCCGCCGCCCGCGGGGCACAGGGCGCAGCGATGGCCGCGGCGGGGTCCCGCCAGCTCCGGCTCCCCGCGCCCCCCGGGCCCCTCTCGCCGCCGCCCGGCCCCGCCGCCGCCCTGCTCCCCGGCCCGGCCCGCTGCGCCCCCGCCCCCTTCGCCGGCTTCCCGGGCCGGGGCCCCGGGCCCCCCGCGCCGGCCCCCGACCGCCTGGGCCCGCCGGCGCCCCCCGCAGGCCCGGCCGCCCCGCCGGCGTCGCAGCGCCGCAAGCGCACGGCGTTCCGCCCCGAGCAGCTGCGGCTCCTGGAGCTGGTGTTCCGCCGGACCGCGTACCCCGACATCCAGCTGCGCGAGCGCCTGGCCGCGCTCACCCTGCTGCCCGAGGCCCGGGTCCAGGTGAGGGGCGCGGGGCGGGGGCGGGATTCCGGGCAGCGCCGCGGCCGCCCCCTTACCGGGCGTTGGCAGTGGCTGCCCTGGGCCCCGCGTCCCGGGCCATCGGGGACCTGTCCGCACCCCCGCGGCGGGGTCTTGGGCCCGGATGAGGGACTGAGGGGTGAGACGGCGCACCTTCCCTGGGGCACAGGCGGGGCTCCCCCGGGGAGAGGCCGGAGGGCGGGCTGAGCCTCCAGGTCCCCGCGGGCCCGGCCACTCCCTGCGGGGCCTCGCCTGGAATCCGCGGCCCAAGACGTGGCGTTTGGGGGAAACGCTGAGCGGGTCACGAGTTGAGATTCTGGTCCAGGCACATCGGAGCTTCACCCGGAGGGGCCGGGGGCCCGGGGCCCGGGGCTGAGCCTCCCCTGGGCGCCGGCTCCGACGGGAGCGCTCCCCGCGGGGGGAGGGGGCAGGGGGAAGGGGCTTCCCAAGCGGCGCGCCCGCAGGACCTGCGGGGAGAGGAGCGGGACGCCCACCGGGCACCCCGTCCCCGACTCACCGGCACGGAACTCACGCACCTTAAAGCTGGGCTCTGCGTGACGTGGGCATCTGTCGCCTTTGCGCACAGCAGGTCTCCCTCGCAGGCTCCATGCAGCTTCTGTCTGGTCCCGCGGGGCCACCCCGTTCACAGGGACGCTGGACAAGCCCTGGGGCAGCCCGGCCCCATGCTCTCCGCCCCGCCCCCCCTCCCCACCCCCCCCCCCACCCCCCACCCCCGCCCCCCCGCCAAGGCTCACCGCCGGTGCCTCCCAGCTCTCCGCCCCGGCCTCCCGGCTCTCTGCCCCTCCCCTCCCGCCTCACCGCCCCGCCCCCGGGCTCACCGCCCCGCCCCTCCGGCTCAACGCCCCGCCCCCGGGCTCTCCACCCCGCCCCCCGGCTCTCCGCCCCCCCCCCCCCTCCCCCCCCCCCCACCCCCCCCACACACACACACACCCCGCCCCCCGCCAAGGCTCACCGCCGGTGCCTCCCAGCTCTCCGCCCCGGCCTCCCGGCTCTCTGCCCCTCCCCTCCCGCCTCACCGCCTCGCCCCCGGGCTCACCGCCCCGGCCACCCCGCTCTCCGCCCCTCTCCTCCGGCTCACCGCCCCGCCCCCCGGCTCTCAGCCCCTCCCCTCCGGCTCACCGCCCCGCCCCCGGCCTCCCCCCCCCGCCCCCGGCTCACCGCCCCGCCCCCGGCTCTCCCCCCCGCCCCCGGCTCACCACCCCGCCCCCCCCGCCTCACCGCCCCGCCCCCGGCTCACCGCCCCGCCCCCGGGCTCTCCACCCCGCCCCCGGCTCACCACCCCGCCCCCCCCCGCCTCACCGCCCCGCCCCCGGCTCACCGCCCCGCCCCTCAGGGTCACCGCCCCGCCCCCCCCCGCCCCCTCCCCCGGCTCACAGCCCCACCCCCCGGCTCTCAGCCACTCCCCTCCGCCTCACCGCCCCGCCCCCGGGCTCTCCCCCCCGCCCCCCGGCTCACCGCCCCGCCCCTGGGCTCTCCACCCCGGCTCACCGCCCCGCCCCTCCGGCTCCCCGCCCCGCCCCCCCGCCTCACCGCCCCGCCTCCCGGCTCACCGCCCCGCCCCCCGGCTCTCAGCCACTCCCCTCCGGCTCACCGCCCCGCCCCCGCCTCACCGCCCCGCCCCCGGCTCACCGCCCCGCCCCCCGCAGGTCTGGTTCCAGAACCGGCGCGCCAAGTCGCGGCGCCAGAGCGGGAAGTCCTTGCCGCTGGCAGCCCGGCCCGCGCTCCTCGCCCACCCCGCGGCCCCCGGAACCGGCATCGGAACCGGAACCGGCACCGGCCCCGGAGCGCTGTGCCCGAAGCCGCAGCCGCCTCTGCAGGTCGATGTGAACCGCCTGCCCTCGGACCCGGGCTCCCGAGGCCAGCACTGCGGCCCCTGCGCGCTCCCCGAGGACGTGGCCTCCGAGCTGGGCTCCTGGGAGCCGCACCTGCTCTCCGCCTTCGGCAGCTCGTGAGGGCCTGGAACCCGGGACACCCGGCACCAGCCCGGCAGCAGAGCCCGGGCCGACCTCTCCGGCTTCACACCGAGGACGTCACGTTCATCTCCGAGACCACCTGTCCCTGTGCGGCTCCTCCCTCTGCCCGAAGCCAGCCCGGGCCCAGGTGTTCTCTGTACCCCTTCTCCCCGCACCGTCACCGGGCTCAGCCCCACCGTAACCCGGCCTCAGCCCCACCGTCACGGGCCCGGCCTCCCTGTCACCGGGCTCGGCCTCCCCTGTCACCGGGTCCGGCCTCCCTGTCACCGGGCCCAGCCTCCCCTGTCACCGGGCCCGGCCTCCCTGTCACCGGGCCCGGCCTCCCTGTCACCGGGCCCGGCCTCCCCTGTCACCGGGCCCGGCCTCCCCTGTCACCGGGCCCAGCCTCCCCTGTCAGCCTCCCCTGTCACCGGGCCCGGCCTCCCCTGTCAGCCTCCCCTGTCACCGGGCCCGGCCTCGCCTGTCAGCCTCCCCTGTCACCGGGCCCGGCCTCCCCGTCACCGGGCCCGGCCTCCCCGTCACCGGGCCCGGCCTCCCTGTCACCCAGGCTCGGCCTCCCTGTCACCGGGCTCGGCCTCCCTGTCACCCAGGCCCGGCCTCCCTGTCACCGGGCCGGGCCTCCCCGTCACCGGGCCCGGCCTCCCTGTCACCGGGCCCGGCCTCCCCGTCACCGGGCCCGGCCTCCCTGTCACCGGGCCCGGCCTCCCTGTCACCGGGCCGGGCCTCCCCGTCACCGGGCCCGGCCTCCCTGTCACCGGGCCTGGCCTCCCCCGTCACCGGGCCCGGCCTCCCTGTCACCGGGCCCGGCCTCACCATCACCAGGCCCGGCCTCCCTGTCACCGGGCCGGGCCTCCCCGTCACCGGGCCCGGCCGCCCTGTCACCGGGCCTGGCCTCCCCTGTCACCGGGCCCGGCCCCCTGTCACCGGGCCCGGCCTCCCTGTCACCGAGCCCGGCCTCCCCGTCACCGGGCCCGGCCTCCCTGTCACCGGGCCTGGCCTCCCCTGTCACCGGGCCCGGCCTCCCTGTCACCGGGCCCGGCCGCCCTGTCACCGGGCCCAGCCTCCCTGTCACCCGGCCCGGCCTCCCCGTCACCCAGGCTCACTGCGTCCTGCCGGCGCCTCCCACACGCAGTGGTGGCTCCCAGGACTCTGTCCAGGTTGCTCCCGAGCTCCCTGTGTCTCGGTTCTCCACTTCTAAAAACCACCCTCCTTAGATGAGATGGGAGAATTGCAAAGTGGGAGCACACTTTCGGACTCCTGAATCAAATACAGAGTTTTGTGCGTGGTTTTTATTTTTTTAATTTTATTTTTTTAAATAAATCTTTATTGCTCAGATTATTACAATTGTTTCTCCTTTTTTCCCCCCATAGCTCCCTTCCACCCGGTTCCCGCCCCACCCTTTGCCCTTGCCTCCCCTCCCTCCCCCATTGTCCTCATCCATAGGTGTACGATTTTAATCCAGTCTCTTCCTGCACCCCCCACACCCCTTTCCCCCTGATAATTATCAATCCACTTCCTTTCTTTGCCCCTGATTCTATTATATTCACCAGTATATTCTGTTCCTCAGATTTTTAATTCACTTGATTTTTAGATTTACTTGATATATATGTATTTCTTGATCCTAATTTTTATCTTTTTTCTCCTTCTTCCTCATGTTAAAGAATGCCTTTTAGCATTTCATATAATACTGGTTTGGTGGTGATGAACTCCTTTAGCTTCTTTTTATCTGTGAAGCTCTTTATCTGACCTTCAATTCTGAATAACTTTGCTGGATACAGTAATCTTGGTTATAGGTTCTCACTATCACTTTGAATATTTCTTGCCAATCCCTTCTGGTCTGCATAGTTTCTGTTGAGAAACCAGCTAATAGTCGTATGGGTGCTCCCTTATAGGTTACCTGCTTTTCTCTTACTGATTGTAAGATTCTCTCTTTGTCTTTTGCCCTTGGCATTTAAATTATGATGTGTCTTGGTGTGGTCCTCTTTGGATTCCTCTTGTTTGGGGTTCTCTGCACTTCCTGGACTTGTGAGTCTATTTCTTTCACCAGGTGGGGGAAGTTTTCCGACATTATTTCTTCAAATAGGTTTTGAGTGTCCTGCTCTCTCTCTTCTTCTGGCACCCCCATAATTCTGATGTTGGTATGCTTGAAGTTTTCCCAGAGGCTCCTTACACTATCTTCAACTTTCTGGATTCTCTTTTCTTCTTGCTTCTCCAGAGGAGTGTCCTTTGCCTCTTTGTATTTCAAATCTTTGACTTGATTCTTGTGTTCCTCCAGTCTGCTGTTGGATCTCTGTATAATATTCTTTATTTCAGTCAGTTTATGTTTAATTTCTAGTTGGATCTCATTAAATTTATCGGCCTTTTCTAGGAAATTCTTGAAAATCCTATAACTGTGGTTTTGAACTCTATATCTCGTCTTTTGTTCTCCTCCATCTCTTTCATTTGAGATCTATTTCCTAGTCTCGGCATTTCTGCTGCTTCCCTGAGTTGGTAGGGTGGCTTTGTGTGTTTGGTGTCCTGAATGCCCCAGTGGGTCAGCCTCCCCAGTTACCTGAGGTGGACACTCTTGGTGCTCCCCTTTGTGGACTGCGTGTACAGCCTTGTTGTAGTTAAGTCTTGATTGTTGTTGGTATCACTGGGAGGAATAGACCTCCAGGCCCATTGGATGTGAGTATCAGCTGTGTCTACTCCAGGATACCTTCTGTATTGGAGACAGTCTTATAGGATCAGACTTGCAAAATTGCAAAAGCCTCTGTGCTCGGCTTGGATGGGGCGGAGTCTCAGGGCTGAGCTGACAGTCTTGGCTTTCCGTCAGCCCTGCCCTTTTGCACTCGCCTGAGTTTCTGCCTGACCTCTGCCTTCCGAGGCTCCCCTGAGTTTCCGCCTGACCATCCAGATTCCCTGTGCAAGAGCGTGGGTGTCCCAGGGGCTCGCCCAGAATTGGGTTGGGTCTCTGTAGTCTGAAGCTTCCGACTCCTTTCGCTGTGGAGAGGCCATGACAACCTCCGCTCATGCATGACTGTAGACCCTGCCCACTGCGGCTCCCGGCTCCCCGGTCTCCCAGTCTCTGAGTCTCCAGGTGTCTTTCTCTACAGTTCAGACTTCACCCGTATGAGCCTGGGTCTACAGGGTTTCGGCCGGGGTTGGGGTTCAGTGCAGTCATAAAGGGTTCAGTGCAGCTGGGGGCTTCCTTTCCCCTCCCGCCAGCCAGGCATTCTGCCGCCCTTCCTCTCTGCACACAAGCGTCTCCCTACCTCAGTGCTCCCAGTGAGGTCATGTGGTGTTTCTCTTTCATTGACTGGCTCATTTCACTCAGCATGATGTTCTCCAATTCCATCCAGGTTGCTGCAAATGATGAGAATTCCTTTTTTATGGCAGCATAGTATTCCATTGTGTAGATGTACCATGGTTTTTGGATCCAATCATCTGCTGACGGGCACCTAGGCTGTTTCCAAATTCTAGCTATTGTAGATTGTGCTGCTATGAACATAGGGGTGCATATATCCTTTCTGATTGGTGTTTCTAGTTTCTTGGGATATATTCCTAGGAGAGGTATTACTGGGTCAAATGGGAGTTCCATTTTCAGTTTTTTGAGGAAACTCCATACTGTCCTCCACAGTGGTTGCACCAGTCTGCATTCCCACCAGCAGTGCATGAGGGCTCCTTTTTCTCTGCAACCTCGCCAACACTTGTCGTTTGTTGATTTGTTGATGGAGTTTTTTGTTTTAGGAGATTTCTCTTTCCCAATTTATATATTAAGAATCTATGTAAATGACTGTTTGTAAGTTAGCCTGAGATAAATTATTGTTTTAATACTTTGAGGGTTTTCAAATTCCTGAGGGCCAAAGGAAACTGTACTAGGGAACCCGGGATGAGGTTTCCTTGTAACCTGCGCTTTGGATGGAGCTAGAGAGAAGTCAGGGCCCGGCCCCGAGGCCAGCGCCAGGACTCGTGATTGTTGGCTACTGGCAGGGTCTGAGCCGGGTGCCATGTCCTAGAGGTTTACCTGCCGCCGCCCTGATGTTCACAGAAGCATTATTCAAGTGGCTTGCACTTCCCAGAGTTCCAAATCCACTGCCAAGAGCAACAAGGAGATAGTTCAGGCTTTGGTAGAAACGTGACTTCTGAGCCTAGAAACTATCGGGAACCACAATGAGATGATCACGTGGGGAGGATCATGTGCAGTGCTGGCTCTGCCAGGCTGGGCAGGCCTGCAGAGCTGAGAGTTCCCCTCACAGTGACTGGGAGGTGGTGGCATGGCCAAATGGGACACGGCCATGAAAGACAGAGCACTTGGAACGTACAGCCCACAAGGCGCACATCTGAATGGAAACCTGCTGCAGACGGGTGCAGCCTCTGTGGAGAACAGCACGGCGCTTCCTCAAAAAACTAAAACTGGAGCTCCCATTTGACCCAGTGATCCCACTTCCAGGAATATATCCCAAGAAACCAGAAACACCCATCAGAAAGGACATATGCACCCCTATGTTCATAGCGGCACAATTCACCACAGCTAAGATCTGGAAACAGCCTAAGTGCCCAGATGAGTGGATTAGAAAACTGTGGTACATCCACACGATGGAGTACTACACTGCTGTAAAAAAAAAAGAAGGAATTCTTACCATTTGCAGCAGCATGGATGGAACTGGAGAGCATTATGCTAAGCGAAATAAGCCAGTCAGAGAAAGACAAATACCACGTGATCTCACTCATTTATGGAATATAATGAACAACATAAACTGATGGACAAAACAGATCCAGAGACAGAGAAGCACCGATCAGACTGTCAAACCTCAGAGCGAAGGTAACGGGGAGAGAGAGATCAACCAAAGGACTTGTGTGCATGCATATAAGCCTAACCAACGGACACAGACACCAGGGGGTGAGGGCATGAGTGGGTGGGAGTGGGGACAATTGGGTGATAAGGACACACATGTAATACCTTAATCAATAAAGAAAAAACGAACATGCATTCCAAGTGTTTCAAACACATTTCTAAATCTCTCCCTGCTCTGTCAGTGTGAATTCCAAGTATTTAAATGAGAATTCTGAGTGTTTAACCCACTCTCACATATCAATCCCAGCTCACTCAGTGTAGATTATGTTGAAACACTATGGCACACATAAAGAGCACTTTAAACACCAATGATCAGTGTTTCACATTTCCCAGCAGATATCACAGCTCCATCAACATGTATTCTGGGAGTTCCAAACACATTCCTAAACATGCCCCGGCTCTGTCAGTATGAATTCCAAGTGTTTTACAGGTTTTCATAGTCTTCTAAGCTCTTTAAATGGGAATTCTAAATGTTTAAACCACTTTCTTACATCTATCCTCGCACTTTCAGCATGAAAAAATAAAATCAAAAGTGGTCAACGTTTTAATTAGCTTATTAAGTGTATTATTGAACTTATAGTGTTATGTCGTTTTCCCCAGGAAACAATTTAAAGAATTTTGTTACATTTTTAATTTTTAAAAATTGCGGGATCTTCTAGATTGCGCCTCTTTCAAACTCGTAAG